CACAGGATCACAGTAGAAAATCACAGTACAGAGACAGAAGTTACAGAAGGATGGGAGAGTTTCCCCAGGAACAAGATGAGATCAAGAGATCTTTTTAAGGGGAGAAAGAATATTTTAGAAATCTGATGACAAGGCCTAAGAGCTGGCAGGACCCAAGTGACAACGAGCCTTTCAGGTAACGTCAGGATGTTTGAACTTTATTCTGTAGATAGTAGGAAATCACAATTATTACTTGGAGAAGGATGGTGATAGTTTTGAGTTTAGGAAGAGGTTCTCTGGCAACCATCACATAAAGAAGAAGTTGTGAGATGGGACAAGAGAATACTTCCTTCAGGGCTGTTAGAGAACAGGCAATGAGGACCTGCATGGAGGCAAGGCTAAGGGAGGAGGGAAGTGGACAGAGAGTGACCACAGAAGCTGGTCACTGGTCAGATGTGACAGGATGGGACAACTGGCAGTCAGTTGGTCATTCCTTCTTTCTTCAGCAAACTGGGTCAATGGTTCTGCATTTCATCCCATAATAAAGATACCACCAGTGGAGAAGCCAGCACGCTAGTGGAAGTGGCAGGGTCAGTTTTAAAACTCACTGCATTTGAGATCCTTGTGAAATATCCAGTGGGACTGCTCAGAAGGGCATTTGGATGAGTTCTCTCCTAGAGAAGAATTCATCCAAATTTTTGTTTGGGGTTTTGTTTTGTTTGGGGTGATAGCCCTGTTCAAACTATTTCCTAGACTCTTCTCTCAGTCTCCCTAGATTCTTCATAGTTTCTGAGCTCCCACGGTTGCTTCTGGCCAAATAGTTGTAAATGGATACCCCTGGGTGAAGGGTCTAGAAGGGATATTGTCTTCTTTAGAAGAAAGGACAGCTTTGTATGTGTCTTTTGCCCTTGTCCATGCCCTTCTTTCCTCCTGCCAGATCACAGTTGGATGCTCAGACAAGCAGTAGCTATCCTGTGCATGGGGCTCAAAGCCTTATAGTAAGAACAAAAGACTTTCTGCGTTGGGCAGCTGACATAGGAACTGGATCCTCTAGTACTTGAGGAAAAAAATCTTTTCTTTAGTTAAGGTGCTGGAATAGTTCTTCTATTTGCTGTCATTTCTAGCAAAATATAATCTTAATTGGTTCAAGAGCTAAAGCCCTGGAGACAGAGATGTGGTTTAGAGATTGAGATTCAAGCCAGTATGGAGGTGGTAACTGACAACTGTGAGGCAGAGGTAAAGCATGGGCACTTAGAGGTACACACCTGCAAATGGTCCTCACTAGTTCAGGGACTGAGAGGGCTGGCTTCCTAGGTGATGTTGAAAGGAGGCATGCCTGTTGATAGGGCAGGATCCTTAGGTAATTTTGATATTGTTGACATTTCTATAATCTCAATCAAAATGAAACAATCCATTTGGGGTTATTCAGTGACCCCTTGACACCAGGAGATTATTTCGTTATCATATTCAAGGTGCTTAAGCAAACCTTTGCTGGCTCTGTGTAGTGATTATCTTCCAGCTGGCACATTTGGGGCTCAGATGCTGATCTGGAAACCCCTGCACTCCTTTGTTTCTCACTAATCACCGAGCCCTAGATGTCCAGCTTGAAAAGCTGGCAGAAGAACAGCCCAGGGCTGTAGTGCATGGCCTGGCCAGCCTTCATCAAGATTATTGCCACAGCGCTTTGACTTACCTGATTTTTCTTCCCTCCAAACCTAGAAACATACTCTACCTATCACACACATTGGGCATTTACTCCTTCCCCTCTTTTATTTTTGCTGGGACACACACAGTAAGTCTCATTACAGTACATTAGGCCAGAGCTTTCAATCCTCGGGCTAATGGTTGTTCTCACCCTGCCCCCACTTCTGCATACGAGCTCAGCACTCCAAATGCCTCATTCTGTTTGCCTTTCTCTTGCCCTTTCAAGCCCTTGCATGCTGTTTTCTTGCCCAGAAATGTCTCTCCACACATTCTCTTACAGACTGCCCAATGCATGGTAGCTAGAGTCACTTTCTGTTTTGCTCAGCAGCTGGGAATGGCTAGAGCCAGACTCTCCATCTTGTCCCTCTCCCGTAAACTTTCCTTCAAGTTACTTTCAAAACCTTCTGAGTTCTATGTGTTGAGAATCTGGAAAACGTGTGCTTTCTTCATCAATGGTGTGGTTCACCTGTTCAAGAGCTTCAGGTCTTGCCCAGTTATGTTGATCTGCCTGCCGTCCCTTTAGACAAATGTACCCACATCAATGTTACCTGCCCTTCCTTTTGGCAAATGTACCTACATCAAGCTCTTGCTTAAGATCCTTTGGGCTTCAAATGGAATCGTTCCTGAACATCTGCCAAGCCTTGTTTCTCCATACCAGGTGGAGAGCGAACCCACCACAGTGCTGGTCCTTAGCCCACAGGCCTCTCATCAGCTCAGCTCAGACTCCCTTCTTCTGAGCTCCTAGAGGACCAGCTAGGCACAGGAGATACAAACATCACCCTCTCATTAGACTGCCTAGGGTCCCAGCTGTTATCTAAGTGTCCTAGGGAGACAATTTTAATCCACCAGGTCAGTTTCACCATATGGATCAAGGTAATACTTGATTTATAGGACTGCTAGATTTAAAAATTATTCAGGAGCAGAGTGCATTAGGTACTGTGGTTGTTAAAGCCATTTGGATCCATGGGGTATATAAATCTGCTTTGTCCTCTTCTATTGCCTACGACACTGTCTGATACATGGTGGATGTTTATACTAGTTTGAGAGCTTACTTGGTTAGGATGGCTTTCTGCATTTCATTTTGGCAGTTAAAAATGCAAAAGTGTCGCTCTCCTACTCTGCCTTGCCTCCCCTGAGCTCAAGTCTTGGTTTCTAGTAAACCTCCAATTCATTTTTGCCAGTTCCTATGTAATATGATTTTGTGTGAGTGTTCGTATATGTGCTGATACATGTGCATGAGTGTGTGTATGCAGGCCAGAGGTAAACTTCAGGTGTCATTCATCTTTCATATGGAGAAACAAGGCAAAACCAAACGGACTATGGAATAGACTTCTTTGTCATTTTGGGAAGTAGTAGTCTGTTTGAAAGCTTCCAAAACTGGAGTTCTTTCTGTTAATTGAAAAGTAAATATAGGAGCTGAAGAGCAAGTTTAGTGGTTAAGAGAACTGGCTGCTCTTCCAGAGAACCTGGGTTGGATTTCTAGCACCCATTTGGCAGCTCACAACTAACTGTAACTCTAGTTGGAAAATATAATATCCTCTCTGGTCTCCTTGGGGAGTACATGCACAGATATATATGCAGGCAAAGCACTTATACATATAAAATAAAAATGAACTAATAAAACTTTTTTTTTGAGACAGTGTTTCTCTGTATAGTCCTGGCTTTCCTAGAACTCACTCTGTAGGCCCACCTGGGCTTGAACTCAGAGATCTGCCTGCCTCTGCCTCTTGAGTGCTGAGTTTAAAGGCGTGCGCCACCACTGTCTGGCTTAACTAATGTATACATATATATGTTAATATTGTTAATATTAATATATTAAAGCAAATACAGATGTACCTTGACTTTCAACGGATCACCCCTGATAAACCTGTTTGAATGGCATTCCATTGTGAATAAGGATGCTCACCTCTGGCCCCTCTCCTTTGGTTGCAGCTCATCAGACTCATTTAGAAAATAACAGTTGTATCTCCCTGTTCTGTACTCTTCATTTCGTACTGTGTGGCCAGGCAGAATCTTGCAGGCTGGCTCACAAAGTATGGGAAGCAGTCCCTATTCATGGTGTCATGAGTGTAGGATAAGAATGATGGACAAAAGGCTCTCAGGTGTGAAAGTCAGGGAGGTCTTTTAAGGAGCTGAATTTTAAAGAAAAGTGGGGAGTCAGCCAAATTCAGGAACTAAGCAGCATCTTCGTAGCATGGGACAAGTTTGATCGAGCCAAACACAAAAGGCAACAGGATGTATCTATTATTTTTAGGTTTTTACTTATTATTGTGCCTGTGTGTGTGTGTGTGTGTGTGTGCGCGCGCGCGCGCGCACGTGCGTGCATGTGCGTGTGAAGACATGTGTGTGATGTTGCCAGTATGGAGGTCTGAGGGCAACTTTATGAAGTCAGTTCTTCCCTTGCATTTTCTATGAGTTCCTGAGATCAGACTCAGCCTGCCAGTCTTGCATGGTAAATGCCTTTAGCCAAACGCATTGAGCCATTTCGCAGACTTTAATAGCCCAATCTGGAGGTTGAGATGTATTTCAGTTCTGATACTGGCAGCAGTAAGAGGCCCGTGGCTGAAAAGGTAGTAAAGCTCACTTAAGAAGGCAGAAAACGCTGTGCATACACACCTAAAGGAAGCCACAAACTTTTTAGTGCTTTACTCAGTGTATACTTTTAAAGGATCCCAACACCTATTTTTTTTATTCTAACCATTTTCAGTTTGTTGTCCCTTTCCTTTGTCTCTACAGGACACTCAGCGTGACTTCCTGGGAATCTCTTGAGCTGCCTGGGAGTGTTGTTTCTAGTCTCCTCTTGAGGTCTGTGGTCAGAGTTAGACACTGAGGTGTCTCACTGTGCAAGTTTAATCTCGACAGAGAAAGATTTCTTCTCATTCTTGCCCCAATTAGAACAGACTGCCCCACACTAATAGAGGCTTGGTCCCATCCTGACGGATTATTAGGTGTTGGAAGCCTCCGTTCTTGCTTGCACGTCGAGGTCGGCTGGGCTTTTCCCCTCTCCCTCTTCCCTAACTCCTCCCGCTACTCTCCCACTACCCCCCCACTCCGACCTCCCCCCATACCCACACAGGGCCCAAGAGCTACAGGTCACCCCTTGCCATCAGGATGGGTCCTGTGCGCCTGCCCCGGGAGCGGTGGGTGGGACTGTGCAGGGGGCGGGACCTCCCGGAGGCTCGGTGGGCGGGGCCTGCCGCTGGGCAGGTTCAGTGACGGCTCTAGCCCCGCCTCTGCCCTTTGGGTAAGGGAGGAGGGAGCCGGAGAGCGCGCGTTGCCTGAGCCGGCCCGAGAGCGGGCCGAGCATAGTGTGGGGCGTCGGCGCGATGGCTCCGGCTGTGGACCGCAAAGGCTATTGGGGCCCCACGACCTCCACATTGGACTGGTGTGAGGAGAACTATGTGGTGACCTTGTTCGTCGCTGAGTTCTGTGAGTGGAGCCTGAGGCGGGGAGCGAGGGCGCGCGCTGAGGGGAGACTTGTGGAGAACGCAGAGGGCGAACCTGGCTGCGAGGGTAGGCTCCAGGCCGGGCCCGGGAGCGGCAGCTGGGCGTGCGCGGCCGTGGGAAGCCGGGGAGCCGACGTGGCCGCCAGTTGTGCCCGGGCTGGCTTCAGGAGGCCTTCAGGTTGGGGACGAAAGGGACGTACGAGCCGCGCCTGGACCTCGGAGGAGAGCATGAGGCGCACCGCAGGGAATAGGAGTTCTTACCTGAGCGCCGCTGCTGCCAGGCCGGGCACTACCCGCCCTGAAGTCGGGACTGAGGATGTCTCTGCTGGGAGGGCCCTGAACGCTAGCCCGACTGCTGCTTCCTGGCCTCAGCCAGCCGGGCACGGAGAAGGGGACGCTTACTGGCTTCATTCTCCCCCAATCTGGGAAACTCTTCAGGGGCCTTCCTTCCCTTCATCTCTCCGTTAGACCACTCTCACTTCCAGGAGACAGTTACCGTTTCTCAATGCCAGAGACTCCCGCCCCCATTCTCACTCCTGTTTCCACCCCTACCCGGTTCCTTCAAGTACTAGAGATCCCTGTTAGTCTTGCACCAGAAGGGAAGCCAGAGCTCCTTCCTTCCCCAGACACTCTCCCAAAAGACTTTAACTCTCCTTGCTTCCTCTCTGCATCTATCTTATCAGACTTTCTAGGGGTCAGTGGTCATCTGAGGACCCTTATTTCCATGAAAGCACTTTTAGAGTTCACGATTTGCTGCTGCTGGACCAGAATTACTGGCCAGATTTAGGTTTTCTCGGTATGGTGTGTGTGTGTGTGTTCTACATGATTGTGTGTGTGTGTGTGTGTGTGTGTTCCACATGATTATTCTAATCAGGCAAGAAAGAAATCAGCCACTTCTTTCATTCACTTTGGTTAGCATTTGAGAACAGTGTTTGATCATCCTTTTTTGGTTTCTGGCAAGGAGCAGAGAATAGGCTTTGGTTGCTACTGCCTTCTTTTGAATGGACCCGCTTTATTAGGCCGTGAGGCAAAACTCTTAGCTCTTAGTTCTGTTCTTGAGTCCTGGAGCACGAGTTTCTTGCCAGATGATCCCACAGAAAGTCTTGCAGTTCTTCACGACATTAGTCCCATGCCCTTGAGACCATGATTTAGTTTGAGCATCAGAACCACCAGTTTAAATGAATAGTTTTTATACAGTAAAGGAGAAAATGGGCAAAGGGGATCATTTATAGGGTAATTACTTGGCAACCCAAACATTGGCAAAGGAAGCACTTTGCCTGTTCGCTTTTTTTATACAGTTTTGGCAAGAGTACCAGAGGCTCGTGACCACCAGGGAGACTTAAAATCATGTTCTTTAAGCTGGAAGTGTATAGCTCTTTATTTGTCCTCTCTTAGGGGTCTTCAAATATTGGATGGGCTTGGAGTTCATTCACTTTCTCTAGATTGTAGAATTAGGTGCAGTGGGTAGAAGAAAATAACTGCAAGGGGAAAGATTTTTTGTTTCAACATAAGACAAAACTTTCTAAGCAGCGATACTGGTATGGGAGAAATTGGCATGGGAGTAAGGGAGCAAGAGAGGTTTGTCATTGAAAGTGCTAAATAGGCATCGCTCACTTAAGTCATTTATTTTGGGAGGAATCGTATAGTAAAGGTACTAGCCTTTTGCAGTTTTATTAATCTACAATAGTAATAAAGACTTTTGGTTTAGAACCAAGGTTTTAGATTAGAATCAAAAGAGAAAACTGGCAGTTAAGTCATGTGAGAACAGTTGAACTGTGAGAGAGGAAGATACTAGTGTTTTGGCAAATAGCTCTGAGAAATGGGAAATGGTTTACTTCAAGTCCTCAGAAAAGGAAACTGAGTAGACTGTAGGAAGGTTTTGAAATAGCAATCAAGGGAGTTGTGTGAAGAGGATAAATGAATGTGTTGGCAACCCTTTGTGTACTCCCTTGGGAGAAGATGACCTGAAGAAAGTTGAGTCAGATTGTCTGACCATATAACCTAGTGGTGGATATATATCGATATTGGGAGTGTGAGGATTTGGCCTTTGAATAGTATCCAGATTTAAAAAGCTGAGTGTGTTGGCACATGCCTACAATTCTAGCACTTAGGGGGTGGAAGCAGTAAAACAGGAGTTCTAGAGCAGACTCTGCCCTGTGGAACACTTCCTCAACAAAACAAAACAAAAAACAAAATAAGCAAGCAAGCAAGCAAAATCTGCTTAATAATCCCGTGTATTCCTGACAAGCGTAGTTCTATCACATTTACAATAGTGAGTTTTAATGATAATATTATCAGGGATAGCAATAGATATTGTCTAAGGACTCACTATACCATAGTTTTATATGTTTATATCTCTTTTGAGTTTTACAGTAATTCTATGAAGAAGGTATTATTATACCCATTTCACAGACTAAAAACTTGAAATGTTTGTTAATTTTTTAATTTTTAGCTTGATTTATTTTGAGAAAGGTCTTTAGCTCAGATGCTCCAGGTGTTCAATGTGTAGGCTGGGCTGACTCAAACTTTTGTTACTCTTTCTGTCTTAGCGTCCCCAAAATGAGGCTCAATTCCTGGAAGGAGTGTATATTTCTTATATTTTTGGTTATAAGCCTAGCCTTCAATGGCTGAACCATCTCTCTAGGCCAGGAGCATATTTTTAAAGAAATAATTTATCTAAGCTTGCAGTAAGTTGTATTGAAACAGTATTCAGGTTGAGATTGTATTCTAAATCTATTATGCCCTTTAGTTCTCCATCAGGTTTTTTTTGTTTTGTTTTGTTTTTTTTTGTTTTGTTTTTTGGCTCTTACATTCAAGGGAGAATGGACAGGAAATCCTATACTGTCACAAAAGACAAACTGGGCTACTATTCAACTTACTCAACCATCTTTTGCCATTCAGTATGTGTATTTTGAATAATAATTGAGCTTGGGGATATATGTGTGTGTATACATACATACATACATACATACGACAGTGGTAACCCTCAGTCCTGACAAGCTATCTTTTAAATATCAGCCCATATTGATTAGAACTTTTTATTTGAAAAGATTGTTAAGGACCAGGAAAAAGGGTAGAGAGTAAAGGACCCAACGGGGATGACTTTAGCCAAAATGTGCAGAGAAAGGGGAGATAGAACCTGTAGAGATCACCTCCAGTAGATAAGCATGGCCCCTGGTTGAGGGATGGGGCCACCCACACATCTCAAAGTTTTTAACCCAGAAATGGTTCTGTCCAAAGGAAGAACAGGGACAAAAAATGGAACAGAGACTGAAGAAAGTGCCAACCCGGGACTGCCCCACCTGGGGATCCATCTTGTCTGTAGATCCAGAACCAACACTGTTGCCGTGGTCAAGAGGTGCTTGTTGAAAGGAACCTGGTGTGGTAGTCCCTTGGGAGGTCTGGTCAGCAGCTAACCAATGCAGAGGTGGATGCTTGGAGCCAACCGTCAGACTGAGCTCAGAGAACATGGTGGGGGAGCTGGTGGAAGGACTGGAGGAGTGGAGGAAAATTGCAACCCCACTGGAAGAGCAACATAGGCTGGCCTGACCACCCAGTTCTCCCAGAGTCTAGACTACTAACCAAAGAGTGTACCTGGATGGCTCCAGAAACATATGTAGCAGTGGATGGCCTTGGCTAACAGCAATGAGATGGGAGGCCCTTGGTCCCTGGGAGGTTTGATGCCCCAGTGTAGGGGGATGCTGTAGCTGTGGGGTGGGAAAGTGTGGGTGGGTGGGGGAGTACCCTCATACAGGCAAAGGGGAGGATGGAGGGTGAATGTGGGATGGGGGGGTTGGTGGAGGGGTAACTGGGAAGTGGAATATCATTTGATATGTAAACAAATGGAATGATTAATAAAGAAGAAAAACGAATAAAAAGAAATAACAAAATCTTCAAAGTTGTAGGGATAAGTGTTTCCTGTTTTATATGAGACTATACAAATAACAGTGCAAGCTAGAACTGGGCAAAAGCTGCTTTATTTATGTGATAGAAGGAGTCTGCATGTACCACAGTGTATGAGGACCGGAGGACGACTTGCCTAAGTCAGTTCTTCCTTCCACCACATGGGTTCCAGGGACCAAACTCAGTTTATCAGGCTTGGTGGCCCCAAAGCAATCTTATAATCAATAATTGAAAAGTCATAGTTGTTTTGTAAACTTTAAAAGTTTTTATTAAACAGGACTGGCAAGATAGGTCTCTTATCTGCTGCCAACCTTGATGACCTGAGTTTAATTCCCTAAACATACAAGGTGGGTGAGAACTGACTCCTACAAATAGTCCCTTGACCTCTCCACTTGCTCCTCTGTTGCCACACACACAGATGTACTTCTTGTGCGTTGACAAATACTTTTTGAGTTTGGATAATCTTTTAGCATTTTATTCTTTGCACTTTCCATATTGTGAAATATCTCCAAGACTTCCTTTAGTTAGAATTGACTTAGGTTTTTTTTTTTTTTTTTTTTTTTTTTTTTGCTGTTGGTCAGTATCATTCTTCTGGGTTATCTTCACTCTTTTTATCCACAACTGTTGTGTTTCTTTAGGTTGATAAGTTTGCCTTAACTAAGTTCCTTAGGCTGTACATCTTTAGCCTCTTAAATGATAGCAGCATCAATATTTTCATGGTTTTCTGTTTCTCTTGTATCTCTGTTTACATTTGTTTGGACTTTCTATCAAGTGAAGTTTGTTGTTTGCTCTTTTCTCATTATTGGCCAGTTATTCAATGACTTTGAAAGTAACCAACTTTGAAAGAATTGATTTAGTTGGTTACACACAAAAATTTATGCAGTTATATGTAGGTTGAAGTCTTAGCAGTGAGGATTGTAATATATTTAGTTGGATTGGCTTTATTTAACTAAATTCTGTCAAACTAAAATATGTACATATTGAAGCTCTGCTTGCTAAGTGAAGATTGTCTGTGTATTAATAATTTTCAAACATCCCTATTAAGAAGGTGATGCTACCCTATTTTAAAAAGAGCAATTAGGTCTGAAAGAAGTTACTACTTCAATCTACCACATTACAGAAAGTGGCATTTCAAATACTAGTAGCCTAATGGAAGAAATATTGCCTAAAGGAAGAGGAGAGTTCTAAGCTTTTTATTGACTTAGAGAAGAAATTACTCAGTCAAAAATTATTTAGGGATCTGGGTGTGGTGGCTCATGCTTATAATTCCAGGACTTGGGAAGTAGAGACAGGTGAGTCAGAAGTACAAGGCTATTCTTAGTTAGCTAGTTTGAAGCCACCTTAGGCATTGTGAGACCCTGCCTTTAATTTTTTTTGTCATTTACTAAATATTTATTGAGCTCTTTAGTCATTGTCTCAGATTGTAAATCTGTTATGTATAGGCAGTCTCTCTGTCCATATAGTTGGAAAGGCCACCAGTAGGATACTTTCCTCCCAAGACTAGAGATTGAACCTAGGACTGCATGCATGCTGAGCTGTATCTATGTATTTATACTTAAATGTCTACATTTCTATGTGTCTGTCTTTCTGTCTTTCTATAAATGTGTGTGTAATCTATCCATCCATCCAGACCACTGAGCTAGAGCTCAACTGTCTTTTTTTTTATTTTGAGACGGAATCTCACTAATTTGCCCTAGGTAGCCTTAAAGTCACTATGTGTAGTTCAGATAGGCCTTGAACTTACTTTTTGTCTTAGTCTTCAGAGTAGCTGTGATTGCAGCCTTGAGATACCAGGCCTGTTTACACTGCTCCTTTCAAGTGAAATTCACTTTAAAAATTGTATTTTATAGAAGAATGTATAAGAATTTACATTTTATAGAAGTTATATTTCAAAAAGCTAAAGAATATTTTAAATTCTCAGTTATGGCTTTCATCTGTCAGAGAAATATGATTGGCTGCACCTTTGATGGAAAGAATGATTGGCACCCTTCATCTCCCTTTTGTTCTGGAGTTGGGATGGTTTGAGCTAAGTATTGTGTTTCCTAATGGATTTGTTGTCACTCTAGAGTTCTATTTATAGGACCCATGCAGAAGGAAGTAGGCAGCCCTCAGTCTCCATGGCTGTTATAAGATTCGCTTAAATGGGAGAAAGGTGTCTGTTTCCTTTCCTATGCAGCTCATCGTGAAAAGCTTTAACTAGATGTCTGTCATACATATGTCACTAGGGGTATCATATTTCTTACCTTTTTTCCCTTTTCTTTTCTCAGGCTTTTTCCATTTTTCTTGAAATAAGTGAGTATTCATTAGGAGTCTTTTAGTCCTGGGTATCTGTGGGCTGGCAGATGTGACATTCCTGATACCTTAAAGAAGAGAATTCTATTGTTAAACATGTATTTATTTATCTATCTATCTATCTATCTATTTATTTATTGTGTATGTGTGCATATTCATGTGACCATCAAAGGACACCTTTTTCTACCACCTGGGTCTTGGGGATCAACCTAGGTCCTCACGCTTGATGGCAGGTGCCTTTACCTACTGAGCCATTTTGCATATCCCAAGATAATTCTTTACCTAAGGAAAAGAAGATAGGCAGTACTTTATCCAACTTACAGCTCAAAAGCACCATAAGTCAGCTGAAGAAGGAAGGACAAATGAAAGAGCAAATTTAGTGTACAAAAAGATTTAAGTTTAATATATCCAACTCAGAGGTTGCAAATAAATGATTTTGGGTGTTGAGATGGATATATTTATGGATGCACTGGAACAGAGTGAAATGTTACCTAAAACCTGAAACAGATTTATAAAAACTTGTAGATGTGCCTAACTTTTGACACTGTAACACACCAGCATTGCATTGCCATCTACAAAGTTTTTTTTTTTGAGAAACACACAGTTGAGTTAAAAAAAAATAGCACAAAACCAAAAGAACCACTGTCAATGTTTTCAGCAAATTTACAATTTTGTGTTGGGATACAGACATTTTAGAACTCAACAAAATGACAGAGCCAGAAAGAGACAGCAAGAATCATTATGGTAACGTGAAAATCTTGAGAGTTTTACTGTGGCGAAAGCAACAGGATAAAAGAGGCCAGTACACTAGAGTCTGGAACTTTGCTCAAGTTTAGGCTTGTAACTGTGGTAAATCACTTATTCTCTATATCATTTTATTTTCTATAAAATGTCTCTTTGAACTAGGACTTCAGGTATGTGAGATAAGCACTTTATATCTTGGTTGTTTTATCTGGTTTATTTTTATTTTATATGTATGGGTGTTTAGCCTGTGTGTATGTCAGTGTACCACTTGCATACTTAATGTACAATAAGGCCAGAGGACAACATCTGCACCTAGAGTTATAGACAGTTGTAAGCCTCTGTGTAAGTGCTGGGAATTGAACTTGGGTTTTCTGGAAGAGCAGCCAGTAGTACCCTTAACCACTGAGCCATCTCTCTAGCTTCTTAATTTACTCTGTGTGTGTGTGCGCGTGCGTGTGCTTGTGTGAGAGGGAAAAAGAGAGAAAGGGGGGGGCGGGAGTTTCAAACATACATCAAACTTGGAAGAATACTGCAGTGAATGTCCGTTTACCCAATGCCTATGCTCTACTTTAACATTTTATTGTAGGTTTATAATATATTTATTCATTTACTGATTCTTCTTTCTATCATTTTATTTTTTGACATATTTCAAAGTAAGTTGCAGACAATCATACACTTTCCCTAAAATCTTTCACAGTTTCATTATATAATGTTCACCTTGTTACATGTTTTTATTTTTGTATAAAGTCCTCATTCAATGGAATGCATAAATATTGAACTAGTATTTGATGAGAAATAAGTACACCAGTGTAACAGAGCCCTTGTCAAGATATGCAGCTTTGGGTTGGGGATGTAGCTCTGTAGTACAGTGGATGCTTAGCATATCTGAAGTTCTAGAAGCTTTATATTTTTTTTCCACCAAGTGTGGGGGCGGGGGAGAGGAAAAGAAAGAGAGAGCTTTGCTCACAGTGAACTTCATGCCCCTTCTGTGTTGTAGTCACCTCCTCCTCCTTCCTCTCCAGTGCAGCCATTGTTCTGATTTTCCCACTCCCTTAAGGAAGATTTGCCTGTTCTGGAACTGCATGTAAGTAGAATGAATCATCTAGTGTTTACTGTTTGATCTAAGACTTCTTTTGTTCAGCAGAATGTTTTTGAGATTCATCTGTGTTGCTATGTATTGGTAGTTTACTATAAATGAAACAGATCCATTTTCCTGCTTAGGTGGCCATCTGTTTTTGGATTTTGATAATTATCAATAGAACTGCTGTGAACATCCTTAAACAGGTCTTTTTGTGGACATAGACATTTTCTGTTATTTTGTTATTATTTATGTATTATTTTCACATGGTCTTGCTGTGTAGCCTCGCTGAATTTCTATTTAGCCCTCACTGACTTGAAATTGTGGCAGTCTTCCTTCCTTAGCCTCATAAGTGCTGGGGTGCAAGCTGTGCCACCACACCTGCCTAATAGATGCATCTTTTTTATTTTTCATAGGTAAATCCTTTAAATTGGAATATTTAAAGGACGTAAAGCAAATATATATTTTCTTACATTAGAAACTTCCAGGCTTTCTTTTTTAGATAGCATCTGGCTATGTAACCCAGGCTAGCCTTCAACTTTTTACGTAGCCCACACTGGCCTTCCTGACTACTGGGAATACAACCATGTACCACCTTGCCTGACTTATACATACGTCATCTGGTCCACGTTGTTGTCAGCCTTTCGCTTCAGTTAGTTTCATTTTAATCATTTCTGTGAACATATACTCGCATGTCATGTTATCTAGTTTATACATTCTTAGGTATTCAATCTTTTCCACTCCTCCCGTCCCTTATCCACACTACTCTTTTCAGAACTGGTACCTTATACATATACCTTATACATCTGTGTCCCTTTCATTGTTCATATTGTTCTAAGAGAGACAATAATAAATTATCTTTTGAAAAGTTGAAGTTTGGATTGGTTATTCAACAATAAGTAACTGAAAATAGTGTCTGAAGTTTAGTTTAGAGTAATTTTGATTTCCTATTGTGTAAACTCGGTATGCCAAATTATACTATGACTTTTCCCCCTTCCCTTCTCACTCCGGCCCCAAGGTTTTTATTTATTTATTATATGTAAATACACTGTAGCTGTCTTCAGACACCTTATAAGAGGGCATCAGATCTCATTACGGATGGTTGTAAGCCACCTTGTGGTTGCTGGGATTTGAACTCATGACCTCTGGAAGAGCAGTCAGTGCTCTTAACCGCTGAGCCATCTCACCACCTCCTATACTATGACTTTTAAGTCTTAAAAGATGAGACTAAACAATAAGAACAAAGTTTAACACTTTCATAAGCTGTTTTATCTTCCGAGAATTTTAAAGCATCCTTTTAGTGATCTCTATGATATATGCATAATAATAAAAAGAACTATTTTACCCACTGAAAGTGAGTAAATAGTTTATAGTTGAAATAATTTGTTTGCGGAGCTGGGAACAATTGTGACTCATCTTAGAGGTGAACTGTTAGCTCTTAGATATGTTCTCTAATTTCTCACAATAGACTGCTTTTAACAGCAGTGACTGGGTAGATTAGCAGAGCAAAGCAGACTTCCAGAATTAGACATAGTAAAGTTGTGGTATTTGCACTGACTCTGTAGACACTGATAGGCTTGAACTATTAACTCTTTACATCTGTGACATGTCATCTCTTCCCTCTGGTGATAACTGAGTCCTGAAGTCCGCTTTCTTTGATGCTAGTGTAATCACCCAGCTGGTTATAATCACCCAGCTGGTTATAGTGTATGTTGGCATTGCTCTTCTCTCCTGCCATTTAATTTTTTATCTCTATATTTATGCATCTAAAGCACTTTTTCTATACGCTTTATAATTGACTCTTTACACTCATTTTTTTGTCAGTTTAGCAATTTCTTCTTTCTTTTATTTTTGCTTCTTGATATAACATCTTACTTTATAGTCCAGGAAGGCTTTGAACTCAGGATGCTCTTGTCTCAGCCACCTGTATACTGGGATTATAAGCATGAGCCACCACACCTGGTTATCAGTATGATTTGGTTATCATCTTTTTAATGTCTTTTGCATTTGTTCTTTGGTTTTTTCTCATTCTTTTCCTATTGTCTTTTGAATTAACTTAGCTATGTGTTTATGCAACCGGTATTTTAGCTGGTCTAGTAGCTTCTCTGTTATCTCTCTTTATTATTGCTTTAGAGGTTGCTCTCACAGGCATGTTCAGCCCTTTGACATTATTACAAGATGTGTCATCCAAAAAGTTTACACTGATGAGTTACAAAACAAAACAAAACAACAAAAACAAAAAACAATCCAAAACAAATGAACAAAGAAACCATTTGTAAGAGACTTGTAAGACAGCTCAGGTAAAAGTGCTTGCTGCACAATCCTGGCACCTCAGTTCAATCCCCTAAACTTACATAAATGTGGAAAGAGAGATCTGACTCTATAGAGTTGTCCTCTGGCCTCTACACATGTGTTATGGGCATTCACACATCCTCTTCCCCCTCCCCCACAATGATAATAATTTTAAATCCTTCATAATGTTTTAAATGAGCTTATGATTTTTTTGTTCTTCATAGTTGGCCTGAGGTACATTCTAGGCAAATTCTCTACCACTGAACTACATACATTCCACATAAAAGTTCTTTTTAATTCTTAACACACAGTCACACTCATTAAATTGCCAAGCTAGCCTTGAACTCACTTTGTCATCTACGCAGTTCTTGAATTTTCTACCCTCCTGTCTTAGCTGTCCAAGTAGTTGGGGTTACAAGCCTACACCCCAAGTCCTGCTACACACATTGTTTTTCCAACTATGTATGTATGTATGTATGTATGTATGTATGTATGTATGTATACCTCTAACAAGGTCAATAGGAATCAGCTCTCTTGCTTTTCTATGCTAGTTAATGATAACTTTTAAAATTTCATGTAGCTGTAAATAGGTAGTTCCTTAAGCATATCAGGTAATCCCAGACCTAGTGCTCATTCCTGAAGTGTTCCAAAGGCCTCAGTGTTATTCTAGTATGAGCATTGCATCTCACTCTTCTGTGGTACCAAAACAGGCAACTCATGCCCTTCCCTTTACTCTTGGGGCAGTTATAACCTGGTTACCATATTAGTTTTTAATTTCCTTTTGTGTCACATTCCTCAGAAGTATCTTGAGTTTTAATATTGTTTAATAATATATTCTCTAAGCCAAGTATGGCACATACCTTTAATCTCAGCATTGGGGAGGCAGGAGCAGGCCGACTGGCCTCTGTGAGTTTGAGACCAGCCTGGTTTACATAAGTCATTAGTCAGGGCTATATAAACTACATTAAGTGATACCGTCTCTTGAGAACAAAAACAAAACAAAGAATATATTTATTGAAAATTTCCAACATGTTTGCATATTTGTAGTGCAAGGAGTTTTGGATTTTTGCCTGCATATTGCTGATAGCTATTTTCTGTTAGCCAAGAATGTATATATTTTAAAACTAGCAGTTTTATTGCATGTAGATAGGTGGATAGATACATGAGATAAGAAAGTCATCTAGGTAGTATTTTACTGGGTTGCAACCATATAGCTTTGTTAATCTGCCGTTTTTTCTAAATTATTCAGAAAAGCATAGCTTTTTTCTTTTCTTCTATCTTTTTTCCAAGCATGCTTTGAGCTTCCCAACCTTTTGGGCTTCCTTACTCTCTATAAAGCTATCCTTTCTGTCATGTGTTTGACCTTCATGCCAACTTAGACTGCATGGTTTTATTTTCCTTCTCACCTTCAATTGTTTCCTCTAGACAGCATCTGAGATTTACAGGTTGCCTGCTCTGAGGACTTTTCTTTTAAACCCTAATGAAATTATTTCTGAGCTTAAAGAATAACCATCTAAGCAGTATCGGCATAATAGGAATGTAGTGTTGAGATATAACATAGCAACATTATCTACCTTTGCTTCCTTCTAATGTTCTCAGTTTTGTAAACACTTGTACTTTTTGTGGTACTACTGTTACTTTCTTAAACAGAGCACAGCTTCATTGCTTTGTGTACTTGTTTAAGTGGTCCTTTCTATTGATATGTCCTGCCTTATCCTGCCTATTTCCTCTACTTGATTAATTCAGACTTATTTAGATTTTTTTCTAAATTTACAATTATTTTAGTTTTTTTAAAAAAATTTTCATTTGGGACTGGAGAGATAGCTCAGTGGTTAAGAGCACTGGCTGATCTTTCAGAGGATCTGAGTTCAATTCCCAGCACCCACAAGGTGGCTCATGACCATCTATAAAGGGATCTGATGCCCTCTTCTGGCATGCAGGTGCACATGCAGCAGAACACTCATACATAAAATAAATAAATAAGATTTAAAAAAGTTTTGATTCCTAGAGGATTACATTTCTCCAAGTCTCAGTGTTGGTAATTATCTTTTTTGTTTTGTTTTGTTTTTCGAGACAGGGTTTCTCTGTGTATCTCTGGCTGTCCTGGAACTCACTCTGTAGACCAGGCTGGCCTTGAACTCAGAAATCTGCCTGCCTCTGCCTCCCAAGTGCTTAGATTAAAGGTGTGCACCACCACCTCCCGGCTCATCTTTTTCTTTTGTGCTTGCTTTTCATTGTGACCTTTTATTTCTTTAAACATTATAAAATGCTCACATTTTAAATTTTCTCGTCTTTTTGTAATTCTTCACTTACTGTTTTGCTGATACCATTTTTTCTAAACCTTTTCCACGTGTGTGTGTGTGTGTGTGTGTGTGTGTTAATGTGTTAGTTAGTGTGAATATATACCACATGACTGCTGGTTCTGGTGGAGGCCAGGAGGTGTTGGATCCCCTGGAGCTGGAGTTACAGGCAGTTTTGAGCTACCCAATATGGGTGCTAGGAATCAAAATTAGGTCTTCTGGAAGAGCAGCCTGTGTTCTTAACAGCTGAGCCATCACTCCAGCCCCTGTTTGGCTGATTCTTTTTAGTTTATGTATGTTGCTTTGCAGTGTTATACAGTAGATATTTTTTCTCCCACTGACGTCATACACTGAGGTGTAAACTTAAAAAATGTAAAAAGGATAAATAGCAAAAAAGAAAAATGATTCTTTTGC